CCTGGGCAGCCGGGCCGCGGGGAGGCCGCCCTGGCAGGGCACGGGCAGAGGTGGCGGAGGAAGAGCCGCCCCTCGGCGAGGCCGCCTCGTCCCTCCTCCCGCGCCGGCCCCGGTCCCGGCCCCGGCTCGGCCCGGCCCGGCCCGTCGGGAGGCGCCGCGGGCGCCCGCACCTGCGGCCGCGGCTCCTCCGCCTCGGCTCGCACCTCTTCCTGCCGCTCGGCCCCGCTTCGCTTCCTACTCCCACATGGGAAACCCGTGCCGGAGCGGCGGGCAGCTCGGCCGCCCCCGTCCGCCCGTCCGAATCAGCCGAAAGGGCAATGGGAGGAAACACTTCAGCTTTCAGGCTGCATTCGGCTGCGCTGAAGTGGATGGTGAAGAGTGACAGGACTTCAACCTGTATTTTTAACACGTCCAATACCACACCATCTAACTGCARAGGAGGAGAGCCCTTTCCAGGTTATATGACAACTCTAGGGTCTACTCCTCCCCAGGGCTGAATGGAATCCTATCAAGACTGAAATGTGTGCATGTGAAATTCGGGAACGGGTCTCTGCTTCCTACTTGGAAAGTGGGCGCCCTCCCTGCAGCTCTGTGGTGCGTTCACTGCGCTGTTTTCCCAGCAGCTGMATGACTGGGACAGCGCTCGCTTTGTCCAGGCTATGGAGCCAGCTTGCAAGTCCCATATGTCAGCAATGCGGCAGGTCAGAAGCTCCGGCCGGCTCATGGTTTCCCAAGGGATGGCCGCCTTCCCTCGCTGGGGACACCACTCACTTCCTATCCCAGCAGCTCAAAGCCGGGCTGTGCCGGCCGGGCTCCTCCTCTCCCCTCCTCTCCTYGCTGCTGCTGCCGGAGCTCSCGGGCCTCCCTGCGGGRCCGCGTCACTCCCACGGACAGCGGCTCTCGCCCAAGCGCAGGGGCTTCCTGTGCAGAGGCTGACGCCGGTGTCGAGCTGTGCTGCAGGACTCGAGAAATAACCATTGTAACCGCCTGCCCTTTGCAGCTTGCATCCCTGCAGCTGCGACTGGGCTGAGGGCCTCTGCTCTCACCAGACATCTCTGCGGGCTGAGCATGTGTGGGCTGCTGACATTTCCTAGGTAAGTCGTAACCAGAAGCACACTCATGACTCCTATTTACTGTGGGTTTTCTTTTTTTTTGGTCTGATTCAAAGGATATAGGAAAATTAAATGAAATACCCAGTTCCAGCTCAATTTCAGCAAAGTCAGTGGAAGTCCAAATGAACTTCTGTTCAGTCAGCAGGCTCAAGGTCAGATCCTTGAGCGTTTCTTGGATGGTTTTTCCCTCAAAGCTTTTTTAGCCAGAGAAGTTGTAACTTCGGTGTGCTGTGCAGAATAAGCTTCAGAGAGGATGCTTCAAARCTCACACGTAAAGGAGCTGCTCAGTGCCTGAAATCCTTTGGTCTTGGCCAACGATCAAAAAGAAAAGGCTGCAAAATGTTAGGAAGTCCAAAGAGAAACTAGAAAAGAGATCATAACAAGCGGTCAAAGGAGTTCAGGAATAACTTTTGAGAAGCAAAGTGACATCTGAATGGATGAACATAAGAGAAGACGCAGAGAAAGTAGGTCATCATTGAATATAAAAGACAAGTATGAAGGGGCACTCAAAAAAAAAAAAAAAAAGAAAGAAAAGGCTCATACGTGTGAAAGTTTCAAAGTTCACTAGTAAATCAGGGTAATGTGAATAGTCAATTCAAAAGAATTATACTTCGGAAGCCAGAATGCTCTTTAATCAGCCTGCAACTTAGTACACTCTTCAAGGAATATAACTGAAAAGATTTTAAAAAATGTATCTGTTTCATTTTAATAACCATTTAACTCTTTTGGGATAAAGTGTAATAGTTGCAGCTCTGGAAACTAAAATTCTGCTTCAGGGAAAGCCTCAACAGTAAAGTGTACACGTCTCCCAAGTGGAAGGAGAGTGGAAGGCTTCAGCTGCCTGCCCATTTAATTTKCAACTTTTCTGATGAGACTGTAAATGAAATTTCCATTTGTGATGATGATCCTGGAAAGATCATATTTGCTCATTAAGCCAAACTATTTCACAAAGTGCATTCGAAGACAACTAGGATCAGATCCCAAACTTTCTAATCCAAGACTTGGCAGTAGCCCAAGCCCATGCTAAAAAGATCCCTTTTTCACAGCATGCATCTGCCATGCATGACCTGCAGCATAAATGTGAAATGTTCACTCCTGAAGAAAGGGAGCTTCAGTACAGGTTTCCCCCCAAAAAAAGGAATTCTCACAAACAAGGCCCCCCTTAATGAGTCTGGGGGCAGCTTTTTTTTATTGGTCTGAAAGGAGGTCTGCAGTGCCATTAAACACGCACCTGTGGTGGGACACTGAAACGTGTGGGTGGGATGGGAACGTGTCCGTGGTGGGACACTGAGCCTGTCCCGGGGGAAGGAAGCAGGGAGGGCAAGAACAGCAGCTTGTGGAGGCCACCTCTGAACCAGACCTTGAGTAATGGCAGCTTTTGGGATTAGCACCGATGAAGAAGGATCCGCATTTGGTTTCTGAGGAACGGGATGGTACCTAGCGTGGCTGGGCACTTAAAGCTCACGACAGAGCATCCTGGGGAAGAAGAAAGTGGAAGGAGAAGTAGAATACCACCATGGGCGGGTGGTTATTTTCTTTTCCTACAATCCTCTTCTGCTGACTACGTGCGATACAGCAGCTAGACAAACAGGAGCCATCGACATGAACCCCCTGGCTAATGCTCTTTTCCCTCCACGGGCGCGGGTCTCCCGAGCTTCTGCTACAGCCGCTCGGTAGAGGTGAACACGGAGGGGAGCTCGGCGAGGGCCGGGTGGGCGCCAGGGCCGGGTGCTTCACGGTGGGCTCCCCGCGACCTCTGCCGCCACCCGCCCGCACCCCGCGGCTGCGGCCCGGCCAGGGGCACCGCCGCCCCAGCACAGACGAGCCCCGCGGGGGCTGCCCTGCCCACGCGCTCCCTCTGAGGAGCCGCGCTGATAACGGCGTTTAACGCATACATATCCAGCAACGTCCCGGGCGCGCCCGCCC